CTCTCTTTTTTTTTTATCGCGGAGAGAGATTATTTTCCTTCAACTTTACTTGCGTTTATCTCTTCAAATCGAAAACCCTAGCAATCTCAGCTGATTTCAAACTTTTAACCCTTTGTCTTAAATTTTCGTTTTTTTTTTTATAAAATTCCTCAATCTCCGCGACAAGCCACCCATCTGAAGATAGGGAGAAACCCTAAGGGGAAAAGTGACCGAACAGGATTCTCTTGTTCTCTTTTGCTTCTCTGATTTATAAAGCTTCGGTTTTTTTCGAAACCCTCTCTTTTGTTTAATTTGTTGATCATGGAGAGATCCGATTCCAGAGATTTGTACAACTTTGTTCGCTCTTCCTCAGGTCAGTCCCTTCCTTTACCGTGTCTGAAATCTAAGGATGTTCTTTTCTAGCTGCTTAGCTGATTTTTTGGATCCGGTTTTGTGAATTGCTTTGATTCGTTAACGAGTTTATGCTAAACATCTCTGATTTGTCTGCTTTATGATTTTTTAGGTCACTGAGGTATATAGCTTCTTTGGTTGATTTTGTGATATGTATATAAGATCTGATGTCTCTTGTACTGGGTTTGCTTAGTTGTTGTTCCTCCAATGCATTAATGCTAAACCAATTCCAATACTCAAAAACTTATCTTCAAAGATTCGTTATCATGTGCAACGAATTGTATATGCAGTGGTTTTTGCTATGTGATTGTAATCAAAGAGCAGAACTTAATTCTTGTGTGTTCTCACATTGTTTGTGTCTGCAGATACAAATAGTAAACTCTTTGATGCATCTCAGTACGAGTTTTTTGGTCAAAATCTGGACGAAATGTCATTGGGAGGTATCGATGATGACGAAGTGATCGCTCCTGTTCTTGGACATGCTGATGATGATGAGTATCACTTGTTTGATAAAGGAGAGGTAACATGCTTTCTCTGTTGAGAACCTAATAATATCTTGATGATATGGATGCAGTGAAAAATGTTTGGAAGATGTTTTACTAATACATACATGTTGTTGATGATGATTCCAGGGTGGAGGTTTAGGAGCACTATCCGACATGGATGATCTTGCTACAACTTTTGCAAAGGTTAGCATAATTTTTGTTTACAGACACT